GTTAAAGAGCCGCTAACAGCATCTGTCTGGTCGCCCAACATAATTCAACTCGTCCTATTTTAATGCACTTAGATAACTGCCGGGGTTTTACTGATTGACAATGGATTCACTGGTAATATTGTATGATGAAAGTTTTTGGGCTGAATAATGAGATTTTAATACCCGAAGGTTAACATTGATTGCGGCCTCGTAGAAACCTCTGATATAGGGATAATCTCGGATTTATAATGGCCTTCAGACCCTCAGCTGGCCAGTGCACTTCAAAAATATTTTTTTCTGGAGCTCAGCTGTTTGCGCTTCAGATGTTTTCTTACCAGTAATATAATATTACATATAGGTTCTAAGTTAGATGGTCGAATATATACTAAATTAGAAACCCCTTTCGTTTCTGATAACAAAAATAAGAGGATTAGCTAGAGTGAAAGCGGATACGTCAGAAGTCGTCTGATAATTGTTTAATCTTCATCGCTCATCGCTAGGTAGAAGATGTAGTGCCGAAGAACTACTCAGAAAACAGTCTATTTGGTTGTCTGTATCTGACTGACTCAATTCTTCTTCGGGATAGGAAATCTGTGACTATTCCCTCAGCGTCCTTAAAAAATTTTCTTTGTGTGCAAAGTGCCTGACAGGTTAAGCGCATTTTGCGAAGCCCTACTTCTAATGGGTAGCTCACTTTGCCTCCTATTTTTGATTCCTTGCGCTTGTAAGTTCTACTGTGTTTTGAATGAGTGTGCCCTGTTCACCTAACTTGCCTAGTTTAGCTGTGTTAACTAGCAGCTACTTTATACATTGTCTCATACCACCGTTTCCACCCGTCTTCTTAATTAGATACTTCCATATACCTTTTTTGACGGATTCGGGCAGATTCAGCAAGGCCGGGGACAGTGTGTACTGGTTAGTTTCTCACAAAACATACCTACAGACTCATACTAAGTTTAATACCCTAAATGCCGACAGGAAACGCTTTTTACTCCTCTTAAACCAGAAAAAATATAGCTCTCTAAGCAAAATATTCAAATCAGCACAATACATCCGTAGGATATGTATAAAATAGCAGTAGAGCAGGTTAGGGTTTGATAATTTAAAACTATTATGCCTACTTGCCACCCATCGATTATTTGTGCAGTATTCATGCGGAAAATTGGTCGCCTACAAAGTAAACTACCTAGAAGTAGAATTTCGAA